TTTTTTTCCCCCAAAGCCCCAGTAGATAGTTGTATGTCATAGTTGCACATCCTTCTAGTTGCTGTATGTGGGACGTGGCCTCAGCATGGCCAGAGAAGTGGTGCATCGGTGCGCGCCCGGGATCCGAACCCGGGCCACCAGTAGTGGAGTGCAAGCACTTAACCGCTAAGCCATGGGGCTGGCCCCTGAGCATTTCATATTAGATGAGGCTTTATTTACTTTTTTTTCGCTGAGGAAGATTCGCCCTGAGCTAACATCTGTTGCCAATCTTCCTCTTTTTGCTGAGGAAGATTTGCCCTGAACCAACATCTGCGCCAATCTTCCTCTATTTTGTATGTGAGTCACTGCCACAGCATGGCCACTACCAAGTGCTGCAGGTCTGGGTCCGGAACCAAGCCCGGGCCGCCAAAGTGGAGCATGCTGAACTTAACCACTACATCACTGGGCCAGCCCCTGAGGCTTTATTGTTTTTAATTTTCAATAAAATTTGAATGGAGTAAACTAAAAATTAAAGTAATTTTTATTTGATTTGATTTAGATCAAATTTGATCTAGATCAAATACTTTGTGCTATATTTTCAAAACAGGTTAATATAATTCAAAAAGTGAAATAATTCATAACCACTACATAAGCATCTCTTCAATTGTATAATCACTCAGTACCTCCTTCTCTATCAAGAATGTGATTAAGAACATCATCATCTCCCACAAACTGAACCTCCAGCATCCTGTCTTCCTTTAATTCCAGTTTACTCATCATTGCCAACCTAAACAAAAGCAAAAAAGCACTCAAAAGTGATGAAAATTTCACATCAACAGCCAAATAAATTAAACATTCACATAATGAATACATCTATTTGTACAACATTTTTAAAAGTCTTTTAAGTATGAAATATATATTATGCATTACAGTAGTCCCCCCTTATCCGTTGTTTTATTTTCCACGGTTTCAGTCATCCAATGTCAACTGTAGCCCAAAAATATTAAATGGAAAATTCCAAAAATAAACAATTCATAAGTTTTAAATTGTACGCCATTCCGAACAGTTTGATGAAACCTCACGCCCTCCCATTCCCTTCTGCCCAGGACGTGAATCATTCCTTTGTCCAGCATATTGCTTGTTAGCCTCTTAGTATCCCTCCTGGTTATCAGATCGACTGTCGCGCAGTGCTTGTGTTCAAGTAATCTTTGTCTAATTAATAATGGCCTCCAAGTGTAAGAGTAGTTTTGCTGGCAATTCGAAGATGCCAAAGAGAAGTTATTATTGTTAATCTGTTACTATGTCTAATTTATAAATTAAATCTCATCATAGGTATGTATGTATTAAAAAAACCAACATATATAGGGTTGAGAACTATCTTTGGTTTCAGGCATCCCCTGGGGGTCTTGGAATGTATCCCCTGCAGACTACTGCATTGTATTAATATTATGTTTTTGATAATAGGTAACAATCCTTCATCCGAAAAATGGAAGAAGTATCTGAGATTTAGAAAAAGCCAAATCCAATCAAGCCAACTAAAATGTAATAACAGGAAAACAATTCTGCCTGTAAAGAAAGCTCTAACTTTCTTTACAATCTACAGAATAACGACATTAACAGCAACGGGGTGGTCGGTAAAAAGGAGTTTAGAAAAGGGGCGGCCAAACACAGAATAATGGATTGGTGGATTTTAATATCTGTTCACTAGAAAGATATAGTCCATGGTGGGGAAGTCTGTACTCCACTGGGGAACCACGCCTGCATCAAATAATCCTCAAGCACCTCCTTCTACTATTACTGCCTGCCTGCAAAAGAACCTGACAACTATGAACACGGCTTCCTAGGTATCCTGGTAACTAACCAGTGAGCATAAATCCTTCCAATACTTTACAGTCAGTTCTTCACCGCACAAACTTCAGAGTTAAGCAGGCAAAAGCTAGATCAACTCTGGCTACTCTGACAAAACTTAGTTTCAGAACTTATAATGTTGGGCCGGCCCGTGGCTTAGTGGTTAAGTGCACGGGCTCCGCTACTGGCAGACCGGGTTCGGATCCCGGGCGTGCACTGACACACCGCTTCTCTGGCCATGCTGAGGCCGCGTCCCACATACAGCAACTAGAAGGATGTGCAACTACGACGTACAACTATCTACTGGGGCTTTGGGGAAAAAAAGGAGGAGGATTGGCAATAGATGTTAGCTCAGGGCCCGTCTTCCTCAGCAAAAAGAGGAGGATTAGCATGGATGTTAGCTCAGGGCTGATCTTCCTCGCAAAAAAAAAAAAAAAAAAAAAGAACTTATAATGCTAACTGCCTGAAACTAATTAATGATGATTCCAACTAGCTGCTAGCTAATCAGCTTACCCAAAAATTGAATTTTTTTCTCTTCTTGCTCTTATAAATCCTCTTTTTGCCTTTTCTCCTGACAAGAGGAACTAGTGACTGTGCCCCTCATGAGTCAGTTATTTGCATGCAGTTAACTTACTAAATGTTGCCAAGTTTTCTTTTCTAACTAGCACACTTAAATAAGTTGTCTCAGTTTTCATTTACCTTTAAAGGTACTACACATTCTGCAGCTGGAAAATTCAGGTACAGTCACCTGTAATTGGAAAAAGAACTCAGTCAGGGTCAGCCAACAGGAAAATGAAAGCAACCAAAGTTCATGAGTTTTAACAAACAAGATAAATAGATGGGGGGAGGGAGGAGGGTGAAAGAGGTGATTAGGCACATGTGTGTGGTGATAGATTGTAACTAGTCTTTGGGTGGTGAACCTGATGTAATCTACACAGAAATCGAAATATAATGATGTACACCCAAAATTTATATAAAGTTATAAACCAGTGTTACTGCAATAAAAAAAAATATTAAAAAGATAAATAGATAAATGCAGTTCTTACAAAACCAAAGTCATTACAATGGCAGAGTAAAGCCCCAGAAACAGAAGATCTGGACTGGGGGTGCAGGTAGCGGGAGGGAGGAGGCCAAAATTTGAGCACTTACTATGTGCTAGACAGTTTTGAATATTCTACATGTACTCTTATTTAATCCTCACAACAACTCTATTAGGTTTATGCTTTGTTATAAAGATAATACTCCATCTATAATTTATCTGACCATTGCCAGTAGAACATGTCCTTTGGGCCATACTGCTTATTATGGGAAATTTGGGTGTATCAGAGAAAAAGTTTAATGCATCTACATGACATTTGTATAAAAGAAAGAAACTTGTGATTTCTTTATATCTGTATAAAATGAAGGTTTTTGAGAGGCTGTTTGTCAGGCACTGTATTAGGCACTTTTTATGTATACCAGATCATTAAATCCTCAGATTCTTTGAGGTAGTTAAAAATACATATAATTCCCCCAATTTATAGATGAGTAAACTGAGGTTAAATATTAAATTACCCAAATTCACAAAATTAGAAAGTGTGCTAGTGCTGAAACCCAGTTGACTGATTTCCAAAGTCCCTGATCATTCTATAACACCACACACTTCTGCCATTAAACATAAATCTGTTATCCCAAATGTTTGTTTTACCTCTAGAAACTATTTATAATATGCCTAATCATTTCCCCACATGGCAGTTCAAATACCCAAAGACTTCTGTGGTTCTTCTAGGTTTCCACCTCATTAGGTTAAACATCACTAGTTCTATCACGAATACTTTTAAGAGCATGGCCAGATTCAGCATAACCTACCTTATTTTAAATTAGGTACTGCTGTGTTCTACAAAGGATTTGAAGCAGTGACAATAAGCAAATGCAATAAAACAAATGATAAACTATAAATACTAATAGGGAGTCTGGATCAGGAAAAATATAAAGAAAAGTAGAAAATAAAATCATACAAAGAATTTTGGCTCTGAGCTTCCTGGCAATCAAAGTGAAAAAGGAATCAAGGTCAGTTACATAATTCTCATTAGCAAAAGTCTAGTAGTTGCTTCAGGGGGAAAAAATATTTTCAAAGAAAATTTAAAAACAAATATTCTACACAATTGAATATTGTGCTAGGCAATTTCCCCATGGTATTTTACATAGGACTTGCCTGGAGAGAGGCAGTCTTACTCTTGTTTGTAGCCGAATGCATTTATAAGCAATTTGCTTTCTAGATTTTAAGGCATCTTATTACATAGTACAGAATCACCAAATTGAAGACAATTCTACAAAGACCTTGAAAGAAACCTCTCCTTCCCTCTTCTCCAACAATTTCTGAAAAAAAAAACATACCCAACAAACACAGAATAAAATGCAAATATTTAGTGACCATTTACACCTCAAGGCACTGTCTTGGGTGCTTACTTTTAAGTGGACTCCTTTCAAGAAGTTAACAGTAAGGCAATACAGCAGCACCAAATGAGTATTAACAGCAACACAATCTCCTTTGAAAGCAAATAAAGGATTTGCTGCAATTTTTAAAAACACAATCTTTTAAAAAAAGGTGGCACATATTAGTGGTTAAGCACCAATTCCAATACCAGATAAACAGGAGTTCTGATCTTAACTCCACACTTACAACTGTGTGACAATGGACAAAGCTGTGACGATTAAATGATATCATGCGGTTGGCATATGAAAATGCTAATAAATTGTTCCCTGATACAGGTATTTTCACTTTAAACTTCAACTTAACCATGCAGATCTCTTGTACATCTCTATATCCCATCTAACATCTCACAGAAAAAGTGATCAATAAATGATGAATGAATGACGTCCATTTACTATGCAGGGCCATTAATACACAAAGGTGTAGGGCCATGCTTTTTTTTTTTTTTTTTTGGTGAGGAATATTGTCCCTGAGCTAACCTCTACGCCCATCTTCCTCTATTTTGTATGTGGGCTGCTGCCACGCCATGGCTTGATGAGCGGTGTAGGTTTGTGTCCAAGGATCAGAACCAGCGAACTCCGGGCAACCAAAGCAGAGCGCGCGACCTTAACTGCTATGCCACCAGGCGGCCCCATTATGCTATTCGTTTTTTTTTCAGATTGTAATTTAACTAGGGAAGGTGTGATGGTTCGAGTAGGATTTCAGTTGTAACACGAAAAGTAATGCGTCAACATCCTTTCAATTAAGAAGCTCCACCAGAAGAGCCTGGTTTGTCAACAGTCACGACCGGGCACTGCCCCAGGGTGACTGCTCAGTTGGCAGGATTCACTGGGTGCTTCCAGGCTGGGACGGCACTGCCGGGTCCTCCTCGGTGGTAGTTCTGGGACGAGACCTCTTCCTCCTCGGCCATCACTGGACCTGCCCCTCTCCCGGGACTCCTTCCTCACGGATTTTTACGGTTCTCTCTTTACAAGCACCAGGCTCCTGAGGCCGGAAACATACGCTGGCAACAGGCGTCCCCAGCACGAAAAGCCTACCACCGCTGGACAGACAGAGGGACGGTCTCGCACAGGGAGCCACTCACCCCAACAAGGGTTTACGGACTTCGGCCCGGGCCTCGCGCCGCTGACCGGCTGGCTGCGCTGCGGAGCCGGGGGTCAGCCCGGGAAGGGCCGAGAGGGAGGCGCAGCGCCCCTGCCGCAGGCCGCACGCGCCACCCCGGCCGGCGGGGCGCGCCTGGACTCACCTCGCGCGCCCGAGCTGAGCAGGACAGGGAGGCGGGCGGCCCGGCCGCCCCACCACGCACCGCCAGCTCTCCGCCCGCGGGGCTCCGGCCCCCTCGCTGAATGGCCGCCGCAGGGAAGGCGCCTTCAGCACGGCGGGAAAGGCCAAATTCTAGACGTCGGCGCCTGAATAGGGTCGCAGGGTCGCAGGGGAGCGCCGAGGCGCGGGGGATGGGAGGCCTGCCTGCTGCACACCGAATCTCCCGCCCTGCTCAGGGGCGGAGCCCCGGGACACCAATGGGAAGCGGAGTCGGCCGAGAGCGACGGTTCTGCCGGCCAGTCGGCGTAGGGCTGGAGGCCCCGCCCACCAAGAAGCCTGAGAAAAACGAATCCCTAAGTGCTGGGTTCTCGCCCTTTCCTTTCGTCTTTCCGTTTCCGGTGAAGGGAGAAGGAAGTGTTGATTAGACCTGAGGAAACTTGCAGAGGTGTGGCGCTCTGAGCGGTTCCTGTCTCTGGAGGCAGTCTTAAAAGTGTTTATCGGTTTCTCTAGATACCTTCTTTTGAGGAAAAGGATAATGGGAATGAATTCGCAGTTTTTTTTAAAACTTTACCTCGTTTGGCTGAAAGGTAGGATCCTGTGCATCTCAAGGGTTTGGGGTAGGGAGGAGGAGAGAAGTCCTCTCTAAAAAAGAGAATTAGGGCTGGCCAATGAATATGGAGATAGGATCAGACTGCTAATAGGATGAAGACACAGAGAAACTAGAATTAATAGACTTAGAAGGAAATAATGAGGAAGAAAAGGAATGAATCTGCTGGGGAATCAGTGTAATCCTCTAACAATACTATTTCATTTGGATTTATTCATTCATTCTGATGAATACATGAAAAGCAACAGGATGTATTGGAGTATATGAGGAAGCCATTTGCTGTGAAACTAATTCGGCCTGACCTGTTTTTCCAGAAAGGCCTGATGTGGCCTGTTGAGCATGCTTTTTACGTCGTCTTTAAACATTTACAATGTCCCAAGAACAAGAATGATGCCCTTAAGATAGGGATGTTGCCTCCCCCATATCAGCATTCCTTTAAGGGTAAACATTCTTCCCAGAAACTAAGGATTAATTACTGACCTGCTTTAACTCATCCCATGGCCACTGACCTGCTGACCACCGACTTGCTGTGCTCACCTTGTGACCACTGACCTGCTGTGTTAGAGCATCTCGTGACAGTAAAAGAGATGTTCCCGCCATATGTGATGTATATTTTTTGTTCTAAGACAGTATATAAGCACTCTGTACACCCCACTTCTGTAGAGAGCTTCCTTCCTTGGTGGAAAAGTTCTCCTGGGCTCAAGTCCTCAAATTGGCTCATAATAAATGCATCCCAGTTTTGATTTATAGATTATTATTATTTTTGTGTGTGTGAGGAAGATCAGCCCTGGGCTAACGTCCAATGCCAATCCTCCATCTTTTTGCTGAGGAGGACTGGCCCTGGGCTAACATCCGTGCCCATCTTCCTCTACTTTATATGGGACACCGCCACAGCATGGCTTGACAAGTGGTGCATCGGTGCGTGCCTGGGATCCGAACCTGAGAACACTTGGGCCACCAAAGCAGAGCGCACGCACTTAACTGCTACGCCACCAGGCCGGGCCTTGATTTATAGCTTGATTATGGATTATTTGTGTTGACAATTCAAAACCACAGAGTGCCCAGTGTACCAGATAATAAGGATACACAGATAATAAGGAACGAGCCAAACACGATCGCTGCCCCCACAGTAGATACTATAGGGGAAGATAACAGACGATATTAGAAAAACGCTACCATATGGAAGTCCAGTGTTTATTGGACCATGTGGTAGGAGTATCTAATTAAAGGACAAAAGGAGTCAGGGACAATTTTCTTGCAGGAAGATACTTAAACTGAAAGCTGAGGATTGAGTAGATTTAAGCCAGGGCACAGAGGAGGGGTAAAATTTTCCACGTAGAAGGCCCAAATCAATATAGCAGGTGCATAAACTGCCAAGAGGCAAGTGCCAAAGTTGGGTGTCTTGTCATGAAGGGCTAGTTTGGCCCTTAGGGCACTAGTCAGATTTGTATTGAAAGATCACTTGGATAAAGGAGGTAAGAGTGGGAGCAGAGAGAAGGAAGAGATGGAATCACAGCATTTTGGAAGCTGCTTAGGAAATCCAATTGAGAAACTGAAATGATGGTAGCCTGGATACCTCAATATTCCATTTTGGTTAGCAGGGTTCAAGAGAACAAAAGAGAAAGGCAATTTTCTCTACATTAGAAATAAAAAAAGAATGTGAGGGGTAAGTAGAGAGAATAAACAATTAAGTGCTCAAAGAGTTCTTAAAAATTTGAAGATCTAGGAATATTGAATAGATATTCAACTAATACGTTCTTTATGTTTCTATGATGTAAACTCTCTTCATTTCTCTCTAAAATCTTCAATAGTCTTCTACAGACTCAGAGGTCTTGGTGTGAGTGGTGGGTTTTGATTTTGTTTTTATAGTGTATGTGTGGAAAAGAGAGGAAAGGGCTGAGTTTTCCTTTTAAATTGACAGTAGGATAGATAAAAACAGAGCTATACCATTCAGAATGGAGATCCAGAATTTAGGGGTGGCAGGAAGTTAAAGCTAGAGACAACCATAAAACAGCAACTTCCCCAGGTATTCACAGAAATTTTGGGTAGAACATTAGACTTCTTCATAGGGAAAGAGAGGACCAAGTTAACTTTGTGTACATCTTAAGGGGGTAGAGACACCAGCAGCTAATTGAGTCGTAGTTTGAAATTGAGGGCCTGGCTTTAAAAGTTTCTAATATAATCGGATGAAACATGGTGAATTGAACACTCTCTTGAAATGCCGCTAAAATAACAATCAAAAAAAATTTTTTTTAAGTATAAACATACAATTAAAAGAACAGGCAAGGAGGTGAGATAAGTTAACAAAATTTTGGAAGATGTGTGGTGATTTAGGCAAAGCAGAGTAAGCTGAAACCCAGGCCTACAAAGGAGGACGCGAACAAGAAGCCTGTTCCTGTCACAGAACTCCAAGTAGTCTCAGGAATTAGTCCATAGGACCCTCTGAAGTCAGAAGAGCAGTATGGGGCTGAGAACTGGAGGACTGGTTCAAGTCTGAAACAAGGAACAATTAGATCCCAAATCTGTCCTACTTAGTGGAAGACCAGGAGTTTACTAGGTGAACCAGAGGATCTAGACTCAACACAGCAGACTAAGAATGACAAGCCATACTGAAATTGGTGGAGTGGTGCAATTGGACAGATTATGTAAGACTAGGAACCTTTTCTTGTTTGGCTCCTAGAACACTGATAAATAGTTATATATCCCCTAGTTGTTAAATGTAAACACTTCCTCTCCAGGCAGACTAATCAGAAGACAGGAGGCCTCAAATGAAAAAGCCAGTTCACCTGTTGGATCCACATTCAAACCTACTAGCTGATAAGCCCTGTCCCTGCAGGCAGAGCTTCCAATCAATTTTAGCATCACCAAACTTCTGAATAAAGCCTCAACTATGAAAGAGACAAAAGAAAATAGACCAGGAGCAAACAGACCATGGAAAACCCAGAAGAAAATTTATTCCAAACTGGTATTAAAAAAATCTCTGAGATAAAGATTTTATATCTATAAAACAAGGAATATAAAAAGAAATGTGTCATCAAGTTTAAAGGAAAAATAATTCTTAAAGTTTTAATTAATTTTTTTTTTTGTGAGGAAGATCAGCCCTGAGCTAACATCCATCGCCAATCCTCCTCCATTTTTTTTCCCAAAGCCCCAGCAGATAGTTGTATGTCATAGTTGCACATCCTTCTAGTTGCTGTACATGGGATGTGGCCTCAGCATGGCCCGAGAAGCGGTGAGTCGGTGCGTGCCCGGGATCTGAACCTGGGCCGCCAGTAGCGGAGCGCGCGCACTTAACCGCTAAGCCACAGGGCCGGCCCCATAATTAATTTTTAAATAGTAGATTGCAACGTCAAGATATCAGCTGCACATTTTTCTTCACCAATGATCTCATCTGTCAGCACAATAAAGAAAATCAGGATGTCTTGTATATTTCTTCCTCAGAGAGATGACTGAGTTAAAAAAAGCAAAATCATTTTTTCAAGTTTAATTATTTTTATTTTTTTTGTGAGGAGATCAGCCCTGTGCTAACATCTGCCAATCCTCCTCCTTTTTTGCTGAGGAAGACTGGCCCTGGGCTAACATCCGTGCCCATCTTCCTCCACTTTATATGGGACGCCGCCACAGCATGGCTTGACAAGCAGTGCGTGGTGCGCACCCGAGATCTGAACCGGCGAACCCCGGGCCACCGCAGCGGAACGCACGCACTTAACTGCTTGTACCACCTGGCCGGCCTCTATTTTTATATTTAAACAAGGTTTTTTACCCAAACCGTATTTTATATGATCAAATTCAAGAATATCAGTTTATATATTCCAAATTGAAATAAACCTAAATAGCCGCATAGATGTCAGTAAGACATCTAGATCAAACAATCAGGACCAGGTAGGTCTTAAGGACAAGAGATATTTGCATTGGTTGCTGAATTTGGGAAACTCAACTTTTGTCTTTATGGCCAGTATCACAAAAAGCTTTATATAAATGCTATTGCTGCTTTAAAAAATCCATTTTATCTCTGGGCCTTTTTCTTTTAACAGTTCAGTTTATTCAGTTAACTTTGAGCATGTACCTGTACCAGGGACACAGTGTCCGGGTTATGTCCCTTACCCTTAAGGAACTTGGATTCTATCTGGGTAGAAAGAATCAGATGATTTCAATACAATAAGGTATTAAGTGCAAAGAGAGAATCTACTGAGAACTACTAGGACAACTATCACTTTGCTCAGCCTGATGGAGGTGGGTGGGTAAGGGGGCCAGGTAGCAGAGGAAAGGCCAATCCAACTGCCAACCCTAGAGAAGAGGCGGTGGGGAAGGGAGATCAGGAAGAGACCATGGCAATACAAACTGGTTGTGGTAATACAAAGCAGCTTGGTGTTACTTAAACCTTAAGTGCAAGTAAGAATGATAGGAGATGGAGTGGGAGAAATAAGTCTCAGGCAAAGGAACATAGAATTTATCCTCTATGATGGTGCCACTAAATAATTGTAACCAGGGGACTGATAGATGTTTTCTATCAATCACTAAGGAAGATAAATTTGAGAGGAACAAGGGATCTAGTTAGGA